GCCTCCCAAGTAGCTGGGACCACAGGCGCCCGCCACAACGCCTGGCCATTTCCTGGTCGCAGCCATCATTGTTGTTTGGCGGGTCCGGGCTGGGGACCCGAACCCTCCACCTTAGATGTACGTGGCTGGCGCCCTAGCCGGTTGAGCTATAGGCGCCGAGCCACCTTTCTTTTTTCTTGAGACAGAGTCTTGAGCTTTCGCCCTGGGTTGAGTGCCATAATGTCACATCTCACAGCAACCTCAATCTCTCAGGCTTAAGTGATTCTCTTGCCTTAGCCTCCCAAGTAGCTGGAACTACAGGTGCCTGCCACAGTGCCCAGCTATTTTTTGGTTGTAGTTGTCACTGTTGTTTGGTAGGCCCAGGTTGGATTCAAACCCTCCAGCTCTAGTGTATGTGGCTGGCGCCCCAGCTGCTTGAGCTACAGGCACCAAGCTGACCCCTCACCTTTCTGAAACACAGCAGCCCACTCCTGCCTCAGGTCCTTTACACTGGCATTTTCCTTTCTAGTGCTCTCTTCTGACTCACTGAAATGTTACCCCTTCAGCAATGCTGTCCTGGCCACCCTACTTAAAACTCCATCTCACCTCTCCACTACATTACTTTATAGGTGTGGGGGTAAGACCTTAGTACATACACCACGATGGGAGCTACAATATGAACAAGAAAGTGCTAGGTTTTAAGGCGTCTGGGCACAATTGAAGCCACTGAAGGACTTTGAACAACAGTGCAGTGACACCATCCGATCCACCCTGTATCCTAACAGGATCTCTCTGCCTCCAATGCTGAGAATAGGCTGGAGGGAGCCAGGGCAAGAGCAGGGAGACTGGCATCCAGGTAGGAGGTGAGGGCACCTGAGATCTGGGTCAGGCAGTGGAGGTGAGGATGAGGGAGCTGATTCTGAAGACGTGGAAGGTAGAACCACAAGGATTTGCTGATAGCCTGGGTGTGGCCCTGAACCTCCTCAAATCCTCAGGGGCCATACAACAAGTTCCCTTTTCTCCCATAGTAGGGATCCAGCTCATCCAGGGTCCAACAGGTCTGCCCACCTGTCCCAGAGACGAGAGAGATGAGGCCAAATGCTGACTCCATTTTCCCCAACATTTAATTAGGAAAACACACTCCATGGAGACAAAAACTCATGCCACTAAAGAGAGAACTGGGGGTCCGGGATTGTGAGATGGGGCCAGATTCCTCAGGGGAGGCAGAAGACAGGGAGCAGTAAGGCACTGCTGCCTCGGCCCCTCAGGGAGGGTGCAGGGTGGGGCAGCTGAGGAACAGGGGTCCAGGGCAAGTGCAGAAGACACAGGAAGTTTGGCGGTAGGGCAGGGAGGAGTGTCTGGAACCCCTAGACCCAAGTCAGGCCCGGCACAAGCCTGGTTACACAGAGCATTCCAGGTGCTCAGGGAGAACAGGGACCCATGGGAATGTAGAGTTGGACCCCCAAGATGTTTGAGGGGGACACTGTGGCACAGCCTGGCACAGCCAGTGTGAAGATAACTTTGGATGCATCAGCCCTGACCCAATTGCTGCTGGTGCTGAGAACCTATCTCAGGACAGGTAGGGCCAGCGTGGAAAGGGTGAGATGCCAGGGGCTGGGCCAAGGCTGGTAATATTACAAAGGAAACAGAGCAGGTGGTGGGGCCTGGAACTCAGGAGAGGAAGGACAGTGAGACTGGCAGCATCCCATGGGGGACACTTATTTACAGATGGAGAACAACAGGGAGTTCAATAAATAGGTATTTGGGACATAAATAGCAGGAGGGCAGGGTATTCCAATACGTGGGCACAAGGAGGAGGGGTATTGCTGCTGCCAGGGTGAGGGTTTGGTCCTGTCACCCCCCTCCCCTTACAGGGCCCAAAGCAAGGCACTAATAAAGGGGGCCTGGGTGTGCTGGGGCATCTTGTCCTAGAAACCTTCCACACAAGACCCAATCCAGGGCTCAGCCCAGCGGCCCAGTCTTGAGCCAGCAGCTCCCCTTGCCAGGAGGATGGCTGAGGACTGAGAAACCCCCTCCTCACCAATGCCACCACCTTTAGCTGTTGCTGGACATGAGGCTGATGATCTGCTCCAGCTTCTGGCGCAACTTATGCTTCCGACAAGAGACATCTCGGTCCAGAGCAGTAAGAATCTGGGAAAGAAGGATGCCCTGGAGCTAGACTCTCAGGGAGGGGCCAGCCCCTCCTGTACGAAGCACCCACTTCCCAGCTGGGCTCCTCTCTCCTCCCTGAGACCCAATGCACAGCTGAAGCTCCATCACCTCTGAACAAACTCACAGGCTTTTCCTTTTTTTTTTTTTTTTTTT